CTGACTCAGTTTGAGCTGATGCAGCCCCCACAGCCGCGAGGTGGGCGGGGGGATGAGCGCAAGCAGCACATGTGCACGGTTCAGATGCTACCATTCATGGTTTGTCATCTCAGCAGAAATCCGTCTTCAGCAGAAATTTCAGCTGAAACACCAGGCTGGTGAGCAGGGGCATGGATAAAGCACTTTAGAAATGGGTAAGCTGGAGACAGACACCTCTAGGGGGAAAAAGGAGAGAGGGATGGGCGAGAACAGGGCAACTGTCTTCTACAGGTCCATCAGTAACATCAGGCTACCACAGGGACCACCTGCAGAGCTAATCCAATAAGTTCCTGAAACAAGAGCAACAGCACTGAAAACTGTATTTTAGCACAGGAAAGGAAGAACATTTGAGCAGCAGATAGCAACAAATGATAATGGAACCAGTCCGAACGTCATGGAGCTAAATCTCGATTCTGTATCAGAAATATTCCATGTTTCACCCTTCCCTCTCAATCTCTCATTAGGTACATTTGCATAATAACAAAAACCCTCACCTTTTCAGGGACTGCATCCATTATGAGTTCACCATACATGTTAATTATCTGTAAGAGTTAGTAAATATTTGAATTTGTACAGAATAATTTGTAAAACTCAAATTCACACGTTCCCATAAAATGTAGGACCCTTCACACTTGAAACAGCAATAAGGAGGTGAGCAATTACAGCAACATTTTGCTCTAGTCTGAAGGACAAGCACTCTGGAACTAATAGTGGTTGGCCCAGAGAGAGACTGTAACTGGCTGCTTGAAGTCTGCCTCAATCTGAAATGCAGTTTAATTCAATTTCAGTCTACTGGTGCATGCCCTGGGCACTGCAACCTTCTCGTTTTTTTTGGCTGTGGGCCACAGTGTGCTGCTTCACCCTGCTGTTCTTGTCATCTGCCCAAGCTTGAGGAGGGGGGGAGATGCTAAAACCTGTATGGGTGGCCACTATTTTCTCAAAATTAGCGACCTCCAGACGTGTAACCACTATTACTGCACCTGCCATTGTAAGAGCTGCTCACTGCTCCTTTTACTTCTCAAGTAAGGATAGCCCACCTATAACATAGCAGAAGGTGAACAACTGATATCCTAATATAAATGGGATAACAAAGGTGTAGAAACACAAACACCAAGCATCTCTGACCTGGTCATTCAGCCAGTTCTGGCCTTCCAGTGTAGCTAAATCATCCATATCTAGCATGTGCTTATTATAGAAGACCCGGAAATTGCAAGTGGAGGATTTTGGATGTTTTTCCCGATACTTCATGATTTCCCTGGTGATAAAAGGTTTTCTAAAACAAGATTGAAAAGGTAGGAAAAAAAAAAAGTCAAGGTCATGTCAAATAGACTGGTGTTCTGTTAGGTGTTAGACGTGAGCGTGCAGTAGCAATGGAAGCAATTTGTCCTTTAAAAGTCTAGAATTTGATACTGCTACACACCTATGGGAGAAATCTTCATTAAAGACTTCTTTTAATCTTCCCATGACATCTTTTTCACAGAGTGGAACTAAACTGCCATATTTCTTCATAACTTCATCTAGGAATCCTTTAAATATACCAGAAAAATGAAAGTACAAACATGTAAAAAAACCCCTCTGAGTTCACCAGTCCAATAAATCAGCAATCATTCTGCACCCAACCAACACACAGCACCACACACAGCAAGTATGTATTTAAGGAAGCTAAGCTCAAATTGGCAACAGTAAATAAAAGCAAGGGAAGGAGGACAAAAAACAAAACAAAACAACGCAGGAATCTGATGTCTCAGCTTTACAGGGAAAGCTCAGACCCCATTCTTCCCATAGACACACACATATCTACATCAAACTAATTACACCAGTGCTATGAGGAGAATCCATCCCACTGCTTATTTCCATTAGCATCTTAAATAATTTTAGTGCAACATGAAAAGCCGTCAGCTTCTGCAACAGTTTTCACAGAAAACCCAGTATCTTGTCCTTACGGTACACAGTTACTCTCCCCAAATGTACGCAGCCCTGGCTGGCAGTGCTTGCAGCCCGCTCGGCTCCTCTGCCGACACCAGAGCACAGGAAGAGAGACCAGAGACACTCTTGGCAAGTTTAACTCATTTCCCCTGGTATCCTAGGGATGGCCACAGACAGCCGTGTCAGCCTGCCATAGCCTGGGCAACCATAACACCAGAAACAAAAGATATTAACCAGGAAATAATGAAGAGATGAATGCTGGAGGAACTAAAAAAACTAGGAAATAGATTGGTTTTTTTTCTCAGACACAAGACTGGAACAGTGGAGACATAAATCCCACCCAAGCATCCAGAACCACTTTGAGAATGAAAGAGAATGGAAAACAGGATTTCAACACTTGACAGTGAACAAGAGAAAAAAAGACAAAGTTGTCCAGCTTTCTGAAAATGATTTTTCAAATGCAGCAGCAAACATGCGTTCTCTGTACAGAATGCTGGAGCTGAGATCAGAGCCCAGGGAAATCGCACTAACCCAAACTCTAGGACCCTTCTCAGGCCTGGTGTGATGGCAGACACTACCTCTGGACAGTCAGGGTGTGTTTAGCTCTCTGCTTACTAAGGCTTTAACTAAATTTCCTGGAAACTTTCAAGGATTAGGATGGGAAGAAACAAGACAAGAGAAACATCTGACAGAAGAAGTGCCAGAACAGCAGTCAGAAAAGAACAAAAAAAGGAGAGAGACCAAGAACAAAACACAGAGAGGTGAGAAAAGCAGTGAAGATACAGCAAGAAGTACACCTGGATGTGCAACAGAAGGAAGGGAGGATTGGAGAGTGAGATCAGACAACAAGGAAGAGTTCTTCACGGGAAGATATCCTTCCTCACAACTCTGCCAAACACTTGCCTAACAAGTGCTACATCTTAGTAGACCGTGACAGGGAGGGTATTCCTCACTCTGGTTAGATAGAAGATCTACAGGGATGTAAGTGTACCTTATTCTCTTTTAATATATAATTTTTTTAAAAGCTTTTTATTCATACACACAGAGGAAGGATTGTCCTCATAGTTGCAGCCAACAGTAGCAGAGCTTCAAGAGCCCTGTAGGTAAAGCCTGACCTCACCTGGGCTGGTGTAACTGCATAACTCAAGGAAAACCCAAAGTTCAGACCTGGTGCAAGATCAGCCACCCATCACGAACAGGATTTACCACAGAGCCCTGTTTGACACCCAACAGCACATCAGAATGCACTAAATATTGCAGCCCATTAACATCCCAGTTCAGCTGCTGCAGAGAAATTAAAAACCCGAGAGCACCCAGAACACCTACATCTCCTTCAAGCACCTGCCCTAGCAACTCTTGCCAGCTTAGCAGGATCTTTTAGGGTGCGGTTAATTATCAACAACGCTCCTAAGCAGACAAGAACTCCTGTACACAGTTATACCAAAATTTAAATTGTTTTCTACAGCTTTTCAGCTGAGAAAACTCACAAGTGCTATACTGTCAGTACAAGTGTGCGTGTAGTGTAGACTCAGGTCCAATCCTCAGAGAGGAACCCTCAACTGAAGGAGATGGAAACTGGTCTCAGCTACTTCCACCCAGAAGCTAGGTACGAATTCTCTTAAAATTGTCAAGTGTGGGAAAGTTTAGTGCATTTGCTGTCTTCTTATTTCTTTAAGTGATTCAGGCCTCCCATGAACAAGAACATGACTACCTATCAGACCACAAAACTTAACCTTTGCCACCCTGGCACAGTCTTGGTTCTTGACTGCTACAGAAGGATTACATCCCTTTTTCTGCTGGACAAACTTTAAAACTCCATTGCAGAAGTGGTCTGTTCACTGTGATACCACAGTTTCTCTCAATTCCTCGCATAGTACCTGGTCCTTGCCAGATTACTGCTCCTTACTATGGGTATAGCATGCTGCCATACACAAACAAGACACCGATTACTATTTTTACCATATTCCTCTTTAGAGAGACTATCAAATTCTGCATGCTAGGCATTGAGTAAAAAAAATCCCAAAGCCTTTTTGCTGAACCTTTGCTAAGACTAGTCTTGCCTTTTTAAAAAATATTGCCTAATAAGATTCATTAAGCCCATTTTATGAACAATTGTAGAGAAAACTAAGTGACAATGAACAATATTTGGCTATTAAAACCTGAAATTCATTAAATGATTTAGTTTCAGTGTAAGACAGAGCAAGAGAAGAGAGCATAAGGCTGGAAGGAAGTGTTAGAAGTATTAGAACACTAAGGATGCTCAATAACCAAGTTCAGAGTAATAATTGTCAACCATTCAAAAAAACTGGAAGTTTTAACCCCGTATCATCTTCTGAAACTACATGATAAAAGACATTTAAAACACCTGTCAACAATTTTACACAAAGATTCCAATTAAATTACATTGTATTCTCTAAAACAAAAGAAGCAGAGGCACCATTCAGCTATCCCTCAAAACAGCCTGCATGCAGCTCTCCTCTCCAGTCTCACTTCATTAAGTGTTATGCTAAGCACCCCTTACAATTCGCAGTAAGAAACCATTCCAGTAAAGGAATTAATGCAACATGTAAACTCCAGGATACATCCAGCAGTTTTTATGACCTCCTGGAAGCCCTAAGATATGTAAAAGGTGTACCACAAAGCCACGTTGCCAACTGCTCATCAGCCACCCGGGAAGCTTTCTGACTGTTCCTTTTGCCTCCCTTCCGAGTTCCTGATTTCAGTCCTGTGCTTTCCGGTGAAGGCTCCTCAAGAGGACTTTTACAGTAAGGGTGATCTAGTAACTTTGCACTAAAAATGTCCAGGTTTAAGGAGCCCTCTACTTCCATTTGGCTAGAGCTGTCCTCATTTTGTGCCAGCTCCATGGATAAAGGTCCATTTGCAAAATTATCATTGACATCAGAATCCTGCAAGGAGGATTGCAACAGTATCATTCCATCTACACCCATAACCTCATTAGATTCTGTGTCATCTCGATCTGAAACAGCAATTCCTTTTTCAGTCACAGAGACAAAAATGTCAGAGCAATGATCCTCCAGCAGAGCCCCGTTGGTCTCCGCCTGGTGCAAGGTCTCTGCCTCCGGAGAAGCTCCAGCACGCAGTTCTGGCAGTTCTGCATCCCCACTGCCGTCCTGCCCTCCGGATTCTGGCTCCTCAGAACGCAGCTCAGCACACGGTAACGCACCCTGTGTACAGCAGATCTCAGGTGCACGTACTTCATTCTCCTCACCTAAAGATTTGGGTGTATTATTGTTCATATCTGATAAACTGTACCGGTTCCAAAGATGATTACTTTTAGATTTCCAGTAGGAGGGCCAGTTACACAATCCACTTTCAAAATCCTGCTGGAGCGTCTCTTGATGGTCCCTAGTAACTTTCTCCACCCACCTCGGCTTGATTTTTCTCAATTTAGAGGTTTTGCCTCTTGAACAAAGTAGTTCCGGGGATTTTATAATTCTATACCGAAACCTAACCATAGAAAGTTTCTTATGCATCATAAATAAAGATCTCTTTTTTACCGTACGATGGTTAAATTTGGACCTCTTTATAGTTGTCGAGGGGCCACAAGTTCCATTCCACTCCCTTTGCAACAGCATTTCCTTTTATAGTTGTTTAAAACTACCAGGACTGTGTTGCCCTCACCATTACTGCTCTCCTCCCTGCTATATACAAAACAACCTTTCTTTACAGGTAAGGCAGCACCATCCAGAGTACCACATGAGACATAATGGATTCTGCCAGCGATGCTCTTAAGAATAGCGACAGTTTCAAATTCTTCATTCAAGGGATCTTCACTCTGAAAGGATTCATTGTTGAGTTTTCTTACTGCTTCTCCAGATGGGCTGTCAGCTTTGCAATAGGGGCAGGATCTTTTTGCTCTCAGTAGTTTTGTAAGGAAAGCTGTATGGTTCAATTGATAGGTTTCTGCATTTAGAGGCACATCAGGAGCCTGCCTGCTCTGGAGCTCAAATGCCCTTCTTCTGCACCGCAGTCTTCTGAATGGTTTGTTGTGATTTAAGCTCACGATTAGCTGAGAACTCTGTCTCTTCTTCTTAGCTAGGAAAAATTGGTCTTGGAAGCAGTATTTCCCAAGCTCCCCACATCCAGTGGTCCATCTTCTAGACTGGGCCAGCAACTGACTTCTTTTCCAAAGCAAATGTCTTCTATGGTTTTTCATTTTTCAGCTGCATTATGATCTTGAAAAACAGCTGAAAGAATAAGGGAAATGAATTCAGAGTTAGCTGGACTGTAACATAATAGCAAAACACTAAGGCATGTTCCCTGAGGAATGTGCCTATCTAAAATTCCACTGGTTCTCCAAACACAATCCCACATTCCCGAGGACATTCTCACTCGTACCAAAAAGAAAAAGAAGCAATAGTTGCAATGGCTCGGTGCTTAAACAGGCTCTTCTCATTCACCTTCCCTTGAGGTAGAGCCACACGCAGGTAATCCCCACCCAGCCCGCTCTCCCTGTATGTAATTTCTGACTCTCTAGCCCGAGGTTAAACCTCTCTCAGTACCCATGCTGTAGAGCAAGCACAGTTAACCAGCTTACCTCAAAAGGCTTTTGAAAAACAAAATTTTGACGTCCAAGTTAGTCAACAAGTGCATGCAGGTACTGACTCCACCAGCATGGTATAAAGCCGAGCTTATTCCTGCACAATAAATGTCAGCAGGCACTTTGAAGACACTTCACACCTCACAAATTGTTTCCTTAAAGAACAGCAATGCACATACTGCCACAGAAAGTTTCATTCTCTGACTAAAGACTGCCGCAGCTTACCCTGTGAAGTGGTTCCTGTGTACCCACAGTAACAGCTCGCTCTGGGTGACAACACCACCATCAGCTCCTATAATCAGGTTTTATCTTTGCATTAACAAAGCAATATCAATGCAGGACACCAGTCAATCACCTTAAAAATCCCTTTCCCCCCGCTAAAAACCCGCATCTCCAAGTGTGCAGCAAGGATATATCTGAGACTACACAAGAGTGCAAAGCCTGCATAGCGATATCTGTTCTTCACTACACAACTAGAAAAGTTCATTCAAAGGTAAAGAATCCAGAAACACCAGGGGAAGGCATCAGGCACACACACAACATAGGATGTTTCATGCAAATCATCCCAGCCTCACCAAGTACATCGTGCCCTGTATTTTACAGCAGTTTGCATTTTTCTCAAGTTGATAAATGGACTTTGCCTGCTTCCTCTAACCAACCGATTCTGACTTACTCCTGTAACAAGCTTTCTCTCAGACACATCTGTCCCAAGCACTACATATGGGCATCAGCTAGCTGAAAATAAAGGAGCCTATAAATGGAAATAAACCATTAACAATTGGACTTTAAAGGCAAATACAAATGCTAAGCACCTGCAAAAACATGTATTTAAAGTCAGACTTAAGAAGCTCTTCTGCATTTTTAACTCTAGTCATCTGAGACATAAACAGCAGCTGGCAATTTTTTTTTTCTTTTTTTTTTTTTTCCTGTGGAGGGGTAGAAAGGGAGTAGAAATGCAGATAGGATGAAGGACATAATTTAGCACTCAGGTAAGGTATTCCCACCATACAGAAACCAATCCAGAGCTTACTACCTACAACCTAGAAATGAGCCCGGGCACCTCCACTGACAGAGATACAAGACAGTACAGCCTAACAGCACCGGCACTGCAACAGAATCCAGCTCTTTTGTAACCCTCTGCTAGTCACCACGCAACTCAGTTATCATCAAAATCAGGACATAACATCTCCTCGTGCCAATTTTCTCATACTTGCTCCTCTAGCACTCACATATTTCTCTACAGTTTGTGCCTGCTTTTATGCTCCAAACTCCACGCGTCCGTCTATTGTGGACAGTACCTACAAAACATTCCTTGAGCGGCCCCAGTACACATCAGCCAAACCACAGTGCTGCTAGGACAGCTTATTCCAGCCACGCTTCCATCCAGGTAAAACAAACAAACCCAGCAAAATAGCAGCGCTCTCAACAAAGCCGTGTACGAAAGGGGCTTCTGCCAACACGGCGAGTCCTGAGCGCTCCAGGAGGAGCACAGCACGCGGTGGTAACGGCTTCGCCGCTTCCCATTGTCCCAGCAACACGTGCCCAGTAACCGAGCAATATACCTGCTGGTTTTTAAGAATGCTCCTGAACGATTTGGACTCATTGCTTTTCTCCTTGCTCTGTCACAGCAAAGTCCAACAAGAAGCATCCCCTCTGCAGGCATCCCACAGACGTGGAAGAAGGCTGAGCGACTGCTGGTTTTCTGAACAGCCGTGGATTACGCCTACAGCTGCCGTTGTTTCACCCATAGTAGAGTGAACTAATGATCACAGTGGGAAAAACACTGAACTAGATTCCAGCAAAGATAAGTCCTGACAACACAGAGAACCTGAGGCAAACCTGAATTGCAAGAGAAGAGTGGTGCCACAGTTTCTACGCAATCAATTGCAACAGCAATCAAAATAGCTCTAGTGTCATGAAATCCACCTTCTTAAACTGCAATAAAGGAAGATCTTAAGAAAGCTATCTACCCACCTGCTCTTCTGCATCATTTTTGACTCGGATAATTGAAAAAATGCTTCACATTATAACTTACAGGATTACAAAATACTTCGTGTTTGTCTGTGATGCAAACACCAGTTTGTCCACACTGAAAGTTCTTTCTGTACAAGAAAGTTTCTCCTTAAAGTAGAAAGAAAGTCTGACTAAGCCATTTAATCCAAGCAAACCTTTCTTGCCCTCCCCTCTCCCTTTTCAAACATAATCAATTTTGAGTCTGGATCCCTTTAAAGCAAAGGCCTCCAAGGAGCCATTAATCCCAGTCCTAGGAGCTGAAACAGTTCACTTTCCTAACAGCAGTATTACTTAGAGTGACAAAAGATAATCCATACGCACATACTTAATTAAAGGTGCTGCTTGAAGAACTTATTTTCCATCAGTGCTACAAGAGTATTACTGGTTTTACTTGGCAACATAAATCAGCAAGGCAAAAGGACAGCTTAAAAGTGCACTGCTAGAAAAGGAACGGAAGTGAGCAACGGAAGACCACAGATAAAGCAAGCACCACCCAGAGTTTAAGAACCCAAGGAGTCACATCTTCACCCCATACATTGACACAGATGGGAAATCTCTGAAGTCGAGGAACTCGCACCATTAAAAGGGCCCCGTGGCATACCTCCGCTGCACAGGATGCTGCCAAGACTGCACCAGCAAAACCTTAAACCAAGAAAAGCCCAAGATGTACACCTTCCAAAGGCCGTAAGTGAAAGAAATCTACTGTCATTAGCCCTCACCCCTTCAGCTGTGCTTGACATACCACCTGCAAACGATTAACTATTAAAAGGCACAACCTCCTCTGCACTGGACAAAGACAACCCTGAACTGTTACAGCTCTGTACTAACGGCAGATTCTGGTTATAAATGGGCTTTGTACTTTTTTGTACTTTTGCTTTTAAAAATATACTTGGGAACCACTCAGTTTTCAGAAGAGAGACTTATCCCAACAGCTCCGGTAAGTTACAAGCATTAGCACCTCACTACATTTTCAATCTATGTGGTTACAATTTACGTTACCTTCAGTGAAATTAAGTGCTGGAAAAGACACTAAACCTTCACACCTTTCACCAACGTTAAGCCTGTTACAGTTTAACCACTGATTAATCCTTGGCAGTCTGATTTATTTTTAGCAGGTTTAGAGAGCCCAGGTTTTAACAGAAAAGCACAGAAATGGGAAAGCCAGTCCCAGCCAATGCTGCTGGCAGGACTCTGACCAAAGGCTTTGAGCTGACACCTGAAGCGTCAGACCACAGAAACCTTTCACCCGCACGCATGCGCTGAACAAACCCACAGCATGGCAGCAGCGCAGCGGCTTCACACTTCCATCAGCACAAGCCACCCAGGGCGGCCAGCAGATCGAGGCACACACAGCTGGTGAGTAATTCACATACAGCTCACTTGCTAACTCTTAGGTTCTTTTTCCCTCCCCCCAGGCTGCCCAGATTTTAATAGTGTTATTCAAAAATGTACAAGAAGCTTGTTTTGAAGAGCATCAGTAACATAAATAAAGCAAAGAGCCTTGGGAGCGTGGCCTTGTGCAGGCACAGTAATTCAGCACCTCCTGCTCCCACGGCAGGCAGCGGTTCTCGCAGGCTCTAGGCGAGTCCAGCCTTTCCCCGTGGAGATCTGGGACAAGCTCTCAAGGACAGAAGATAAGCAGGAAAAAGAAAGCGGGGCCGAGGATAGAGAGCCAGGATATGCTGTGCAAGAAGATGCCCTCCCTCCGTGCCCCAAGCGGAATCCAAAACTGGAAAGAGCAAGAGGAAGCTGGGGAAGGGTGTCTCTCTTCAAACCACCGCGTGGCCAGAACGAAGCCGGTAAGGTCAGGAAGTCTGAATGATTCAACTAGCATGTGCAGAAGTAACGCAGGCTGGCTGGGAACCGTCTTCTCTTGGCTTTCTCTCCTAACCTGCCCAGCAGGGTTCTGCGAACTGTTAACCAAAGGTTTTGTCCCAAAGGTGAAACAAGCCCTAGGGAAACACTTTGACAAAATGTAATGTATTAACACAAGACCACACAAAAATGGTCAAAGTACAAAGT